CTGTCCGGCCCCCCGTCACCACGATTATTGAATTTATCCACAACAACCATTATCATCAAGAAAAAATACTAACCAGAAAAGAGGAAAACACTCACCACCTTTCCTATATTCAAACCTCAACCTTTGGTAAAAACAAACAAACCCAACACTCACCCAGTTCACATTAACTTCTGTGAACCTTAAGAGGTTTTATTTTGCAAAAAGGACTTCTAATAACTCTAGATGACAAAAAGAACTCATTGCCTTTAAGGGGAAAAAAAAAGGAGCATGAGTGTGCAAACAGCAAGTAACTTTCTCCCGTTTTCATATAGGAGAGTTTTCATACACATTTCTGTTCTCCCAAGAAAATACATCTTTCTAGTAAAGTAATAGAAACTTGGTCAGGTTAGACAGACACAACCCCATGAGATCAGTCTAGTCCCTGTGGACTGCCACAGAATCAGGCACGAGCAGCAAAACCCAGGCACAGCACCTAAGCAAGCTAATTTCTGATAAGACTAACTCTTGGTGACACCCTGGAGCCAGGTCTGTAATGTGTATTGTAGAATACGGTGGCAAATGCTAACAAGGCTCTTGATAGAGCCAAATGTGTTTGAAAAAGCAGGCTTAAGGGTGCTGGAACTGGTAGGAACAGTGCAAGAGAAAGGGGTGGCTACACGTGTTGGCGATAAGCTAGAGGAGACAGCTCCACCAGGCTGGTGATGAAGGGGACAGGGAAACAACCAGTGTTCAGACTAATGCCAGTCTTCTCAGGTGCAGCTCTGCTACAGAGCTGTGGGTCACTGGGCATCACCGGGGGACCTGCCATTCCCTCAGCTGAGTTAGACATGATTCCCCATGTGAACATATTGAACGTACCACTGGAACTTCCGCCTTCTTGCACCAGCTCTAGAGGCTAGGCAATTTTGCCACAGTTTAATTAAGCACACAGAAAACATAGAGCCCTGTTCACACAAAAGTTGAGATAAGCTTCTGTAGCATACTGCCAACAAATGCAGCTATAGTTCATTTTCTAAACAACCAAATGTCTGTGACTCAACTAAGTTTAACAGCATGTAGATTATGCGAGACTATGAGTAGAATAAAAAAAAAAAAAAAAAAAAAAAAAATACTGGGGTTAAAAAATTAAAAAAGGAAAAAAAAAAAAAAAAAAAAAAAAAAAAAAAGACTACTGGGATTAAAACATTAAAGAATAGACCTGAACCCATTCAAGAAAAATGCTATACACAGTAGACAGAAACTCTGTGTACTTCAATCATTTTCACCCCAGTCCACCATCCTTGACCAGGAAGATCACAGACAGTGAACAGTGGAAGATCTCTGCCACAGGAAAGGAAACACAACTCTATCCTGCTGGAAACCTAAGCCTGAGATGTTAATGAATTGATCTGGAGATACCCTTCTGCTTCCAAACAAAAGCTCTAAACACTCCAACTGCACACACACCAGGGCACATTACTTCAACCAAGCAAACAAAAACTCCTTGCTAGCTAGACACCAGTAACTATAGAAAATCACACTGCTGTCACACAGACTGTAGAGACAGTAAATCCCACATGACTGCTGTCAGGAGAAAGCCAACAAAGGAACACCTCCCCAGGTTTATTATGAACAAGAGAGCCTGAACCCACTATGATTCACTGGGTCAGCTGCTCTCAGTGAGTATCATTAAGTAGCACACACATACTTGAGGCACCTGTGTATTTTAATTTTCCTAATTATCCTTAACCAACACGCAAAGAGAAGCTGATGGTATACATTTTTCCCCCAACTTTCCTGATGCTGAATTGCTGCCAGTATACGGTGGCACATAACTTTTGCCATATAACCTTGTCTCGCCATGTTTTAAGTTACAATAAGTAAGTCTTCTTTGACCAGCCTACTTAGGGGGATAGAGGAAGACTTGG